TTGTAACATCCGTGAAAAGGAAAAATTTTTATTTTTTGAATGAATTTTGGAAATATAATGCTAAATTTAAAATGAGCCACCTTCTGACAAGAAATTTATGATCTCCATGCAGCGATTTAAAGACCGCTAGGATGTATTCTCGGGAGAACTGTAAATAGCTGAAGATTTCAGAAGTGATGACCAAAAAACGATAGTTCTACTCCTTTTTCAGTGAAAACTTGAAAATCTTTCTAATTACAGTTTTATGGAGTTGATGTTGGTGAAATGAAATTTGTGGATAGACAAGGTATCTTCAGCTCCCTGCCGATCTTCAGTCAATTCCGCCACTTTGCTTTTGCGGTATATTACCCAGTTGCAGAACAAGCCCTGGTTACGTAAATCTTTCATCAACAAATGAGAACAACATTTGTTTGTGCAAAATATGTAAGTGAATGAAAAACTTCATTGATATAATAAAAAAAATTTTGTCCCAGCAAAAAAGCTTAATATGATTGGTATTTAAATTTTGATTAATTTTAATAAAGTGATTAAAAACTTTAAATTAATTCATGCAATTAGTATTATATAAATACCTTTAAACAAAATTATATATATGAACTTTTTCAGACAAAATTCTTCCACCACATTTCTCAGGCTACTTTACTGCAATGTATCCACCAGTTGTGTTCCTCCAGTTGTACAAATTTATCAGTTATCATAACAAATATGATGAAGTTATTTTCAAACGAGTGAGTTTATTTATTTACCTTGCCTAATTTTTTGGTCTTTTAGATTTTCGTTAAATCAGTTTGTTTATGTCAGAAGTCGAGGACGATAGCAAGTAATAATGAATATCTTGGTTGTCAGTATGCTGTTCCCAATACAAATTTAGTCATGAGGGAAAATGGTCAGAGTATTAAAAAGAAAACAAGTGCTTTTCAAAGATCATATAAGCTTTATGATGTAAGTTTCTACAAATTTTCTATTTTGATAAATTAATATTCAGTTTATTGCTGTATTGGGCAGTGAAAAGTATTACTTGTAAAAAGAATGTGTGATGAATATTGTCTTGATTAAATTTGAAATTCTGCTGAAAGGTCTGCATTAGTGGTTGGTTGAGTGATTGATATTTACTTCCTTCTTGTTTTCGCAACCTTTTTACCAATTGCGTAGGTGCACTTTTGTCATTCAAAAAAAAAGGAACTGCTAGGCCTTAAGAAAGAAGATTTCATGATATAATAGACAGCGATCAAAATAGCTTATTGTCATGCAAGAAGTTCTATAAACTATATTGCATTTCCATTCGAAGTTATAGTGTAACAGAGTTCGTTGCAATTGTCGCGGCCTTTTACACTTCATGAGTTAGTAAAATAAACCAAAACAACTTTTTCAATTTTTTGTTTCCGTGATTCTATTGTCAATTATCCTCGGAGATTGATTTAATTTTGTAGCAGTTTTTCAAAGGAGGAAGTAATGGTACATGCACTGAAGTGGAGATTTTTACTTTTAAACCATACAGCGTCAAATTGCCATTCTCAGGTAAAAGCAATTGTGACCGCAAAAATCCGTCGTAATGTTTATTGGATGCGAGATGCAGACATCTTATCTATTTTATATGAGGTGAGGATAATAGTGTGTGTACTACTGTATTTATTACATTTAAAGCAATATATCATTATTTTATGGGCAGCATTTTTTGTTTTTAGTGAATTAAATTTATTGCTAGTCATAAAGTCATAACTGAACAAATGTTTATAAAAAAATGTTTTCTTTAAGAAAGGAATATATTGAAAAGAGTAGACCTAAATTCCAAGTTTTGTTAATAATAGAATAATAGATTCTAATTTCATTCCAATCCTCATTATTTTATTGTAAGAAGAAGGAGTAGCCATAATTTCTTTCTTTGTTACGGATTTATTGCAAATCATTTCAGTTCTTTAATTCTCTCGGACATCTTTTTATAGCCGAATTTTCATTAGAAAAAAAGAACTCAAATTTGATAATTCCAGGAAGTGTTAAATTTTTCTTGATTTAGGAAAAACATCTGTAAATCATTAAATTCTAGTGCCGAAGCTTCAACTGTATGATCGCATCTAATATATGGTACTTTTGAAATTAACTTAAGATTCTTTAAATAGAATTTGGTTGATCCCGGAAAACATTCCAAATACAAATCGGTTAATTCAATGAATATGCATAACGAGATGTGTTGTATGATGTGGTTGGCAAGACCATTTCGAAAGCATAGTCCGTACAATCAATTTTCTATTTAACGGTGTGTGTGTGTCTTTTTAGGATTATAAAAATTTTCAGCAGTATTTATGCTAATATATTGGTTTCATTTTCAACAGATTTTTAGAGAACTGATTGTCACTATCTAATGTCTTTTCTTAAAGTATTTGCCTCACATTAATGCATTTTCCTTTTTCTTTACTGCAGAATAAATGCTTTTCAAAAATCACTTTAAAATTCAACTCCGTAGTTTAGACGACTATGGTTCACGGGTTATAATTTACCAAGAAAGAAAGTACGCTCAAAAATCAGTGGCTAGATAATGCAATTTTCATTGTAGAGCGGTTGTCACCCATTTTCATGAGGAGACCGATACATGTTTGGCATATCTTGTTGATTTTGGTCTATCAATTGTTTGTAACATCAAAAATTGTAAAGAGCAGGTTCGTTTTTTATACAATTTCATTTGCAGTTGTTGTTTATGTACGAAAAAAAAGAATAGTAATTTTAAATTAAAGCACAATAATTTCTACATAATTGTCTGATCTACGTAGATATTGGATACCGCATTTCTTGAAAACAGTGTACTTTTAGCCTGCGGTGATACGTGAGACTTCATCTGCTGCATTCAAGTGTTGTGTGAATCGGAGTTTTGAGACAGGAAGTGCTGAGCGTAAGACACCCAAAGCAAGACATTTTGCATTTTCTAACTTAAACGAATGCAATTTTAAATGCTTTAAAATAAAATCTGGTTAACTTTGTTGAGAAATTCAGTAATCACTGGAAATCAATTTAAAATCTTTAGAGGAGTAAGCGAGTCGATAGCATGCATATATATATATATATATATATATATATATATATATATATATATATATATATATATGTACCGATTTGCTTCCATTTTCAGTTGCTCAGAGAAGAACTCTATAATATACAACTCTTATATTTGCATAACGATTTTTATGTGTGTAACATGTTGTTTGGGATGCAGTATTTATGTGGAAATGAAAGTATTAAAATTCAACAAATGCAAACATAAGCATGAAAGCTTCATCATCAAATGGAGTAAGCAATGAAAGATTTGAAATAAAACGGAATAATCAACAATGGTTTCAACCTCAATCGAATAATTAATGCGTAAAGAACAAATCCAATAGGTCATTGATTTTTATTTCAATTACTGCAGGAGTTATTTCTATAATGATTTGTCAGATGAATGTCTTGTACATTTCCCAAGAAGTGTTCATTTAAGGAGTGAAATAACGCTTACTTCAATATCCTGAAAATATCCGAAAAAATTGATAATATTACTAGCGCAAAACTCGCTTCCTTGCATATGGTTAGTTTTAGATTTTTGACGTCTTTACTAGTTTTTAAATTAATCAAGGTAGTATTATGCAAGATAAAATATAGTCAAGATGATAATGATTGCCTGTACTAAATTAATGCTGGTCACTGTCATGGAACACGTTTCCAATCATATAAATGAATAATTTCAAGTGATGTTCTATCTAAATCCTTTCATTTGCATTTATATAGTAGGATTACACGCAATGCTTTTCTACTGAAGGATGATCAAAGCTAACGATGCCTGCGAAATTTTTAGGCTATAAAAAATGTGGCCATTGTGACAAAATGTCTTCATTGCATCAGTGTTGTCAGAATAGTCAGAATCCTTCAACGCCAATGATTGAATCCATCCAATACAACAGTTCCAGTATTTTTAGTCCATTAAATTAATTGTTCTATCGATTTTAACGATAATTAAAATAGAGTCTTTCAGATTTGCTGGACCATCGAGTGGTTCAGGAATTCCAGAATCTAGCTACAACTTGCACGGAGGAGTGGAAACAATAACGGTTTCTCTTTTAAAGGAATTTTTCTTCATGTTTATTCTATAATGAACGAAACACTTTCTCGTTTTAGTAATAAGGGGACCCTCTGTTTTACTTTTCCCAACGAATCAAAATGTAATAAGTTATAGTGAAATTATCGGTTCAACAAGTGGAGTATTAGAAATTGGAGTATTAATGACACGTAAGGATTTAATTTTAAAGGGAATACGTCAAAATGGAATTAGCACAATTAAAAATCGAAATAACTTGAGGAAGTTTAGAGCACATCATATTATGGGAAACAGTCAACTTCCTTTGGGTATGTGTTTTTGATTTATATGCCTTGCTAACTTTTAGTGAATACTATATGATTGCTTTGTTTGAACGAAACTAGATACTATGATTACTATGATAACGATACTTGATTATACTGAAGAAAATTAGAATTATAGAGCTGTTCTGCGGCAGTCAAGAAATTTGCAAAGTATAAAGCGACTTTATTCAGATCGGTGTGCAAAGTCAAGAAATATAATTTCTTCTCTAATATCAGTAATCCTGTTGCCGTGCCGCCGCAGTACCCTTTTGGCCATGAAAATCGAAATAGAGGTAAGTAAAATAATTTCACCACAAAAATGAGACAGTAGATTAGCTTTTCTGGATAATTCTCAGTAATATTAAGGCCTGTGGGCCCCAGGAGAGTAGTAATGATCTCTTTTTATCATACCTGAAAGTGTTAAAGGACACACCTGAGACTTTAAAAGTTAATCTAGTGCTGTAATACCATCAAATTTACTTCAGAGTATGCTGGACGTATTCAAAATCAATATGACAAGTTTGGATACAAACAGTTAAATGGTAATAAGTTAAAAATAAAAAGGACCAATTCTCATATGCAAATGGGCAAATGTCCATCGAAAAACAGTGCCAACATGGTTACGAAATACCAACGTGATGAGTATCGCGAAGATGGTCCATCCACAAATAAGGTTTCTAGATTTTACCAGTCCATAATTTTACCAATCGTCAGCTATAGTTTAAAGAAGAACTGTATATTATAATGTAGTAACTCTCATTTTATATTTCTTTTCATTGTTCTGTGCATTTCGAAGAAGTGAAACGAGAGAGAGAGAGAGAGAGAGAGAGATTAGTTTCTTTATGATAGCTATAATTATTAAATTAGTAGAATTAAAGTATGTAAAGTGTTTTTTTTATAATTCATCAGAAACAATGCTTTCTGTGCATTACTTTTGCGTTTTATTTATATGTTGTACACATAATTTTCAGAAAATTTCAGAACCTTTTATGTACGGAAACTCCGCAACCGTAAAGGTAAATTGTTGTATACTTCCGATGAATCATTAGCAGACGAAATTTCCTACGATGAGGCAAGATGCTCGCTTATCACAAGCAATAATGGTGATGAAGATGTTATTGTTGTTGAGAACAAAGTTAGTTTACACTTATATTTGAAGTAATAGGGGAACTCTAGACTCCAAAACTACTAGATATTTTTGTAGACAAGTATTTGCAGACCAGTGTCACTGCTAATTTATTAGAAAAGAAGATTGCTTTGGACATGAATGAGCCAGTAACCTCTTTTATACGGTTGAGAAAACGTGCTCCAATTTATCAGGTTTTACTGTTTCTTTTGCACTTTTTGTTGGATTACTCATCGCCTTGAAAACAACTGACAGTCATTTTTCCTTCAGTTTACTTCACGATCTTCATTATAAAATAAAACATCGAAACTTTTGGCACACTCATTCCAGGCTTTCTTTGAGTATGTGAAAGTGAGTGAGGGTGATGAAGTATTAGTGAAAAGAAGTGATGATGATCATGACAATGAGAACTGACCATTGTTCTTCGTACAGATTCAGCATGATGATTTGCTTGATGTTTTGGAAGAACAACTTGATTCACTGCAACCAACTTCTTTAATTAGTGAAGAAGAATTGGTAATTGGTTCATAGTGTATTAATTTTAGAAGATTTAATTGGGTTTTTTAGGTTTTGTTAGATCCATTGCTAACAACTTTCCTATAAGTGCTATTTTATTCATGATAATGCTCGAAAATGGTGACTTACCACTTTTAATGACTTGCATAGGTTGGGGACAATAAGTAGATGAATTCGTGAGAAATAAAAATAGTTGCAATTTCGGTCATGATGTTTGCTTCTATTCTATTTTTATTTTGGAAATCCAATTTATTTTGACGACACCATGATATCCAAATGTAAAATTGTTGTTTCGCTAATTAGTTCATTTTACGTAGCATGCTGAAGGATGTGAAATTAGATATTATCAAGAGATATTCTAAACTGCATATAACAACTGGTCCTGTATATGAAGTGTCCCGCATTTTTCAGCAAGTGGGTACCTTATGTGTATCATTTTGTCGTACATTTGATTCATTGTTTCGAGCAGTCATAACAAACATAAATAATATTGGCATTGAAGTTCATTATGTTGATTATGGCAATTATGAAACAGTGAACAGAGACGATCAAATGTCGATTTTTAATCTGGTAGATATTTCAGATATTTTTAGTAGTTTACTTTGTAATCCATTCGTGTAAGTAACTAATAAATGCTAATCAACGACTTTTTGTTGGAAAACTTTGGAATATCACTGTTGGAGTATGTCTGACTTATAGTCACATCGCTGTAGGTTGTAATGCATTGACTACAAGTTATGATTTCCAGAACTTATTGTTTATATACTTACACTATATAATAATAATATTAAAACTTTTTATCGATCTAGGGAAACTATTACTAAGATTTGTACTCATTTTAGTCTGATGTCGCTCGTACCTATCCAGGAATGGCAATCCCTTGCATGCTTTTCAATTCGCTTGTCTCATCAACTGTTTCGAATTCTGCGGAAACTGAAGACGAATTTATAACAAATTTGAAGGATGCCGTTTCATGTGAACACCATTCATTCCGAATTCGAATACTGCAAATTCGTGAAGATAGAATCTGCATCGTTGAATATATTTCATCGTAAGCATGCTTTATTTATGAATATACTTGCAATCAAATCTATGTCTCTCACAAATTGCCAATTATTTTGGTTAAAAATTTGTGTGCATGTTTTCAAAACTCAGTATTTGTTTAATTTGGTAATATGACAAAGAGTTTGGTTAATTTGCTGTGCAGTTCTTTTTAAATGTTTTTATTCTTTCTGCAAGTTTGAATACAATTATGTTGCTTTCGAGTCACATCGATTTTTTTATGTGATTCAGTAATTTAATTATTGAGTAATCTAATGAAGTTTTAGCATTTTTATTTTTACTTTTGCAGAGGATGCTGTGGATTAAAAGCTGTCTTACTGTTATCTTTAGTTTTTATGTTTTAAACTGTTCGTTGGTATGGTTTACAATTTCACTGTAATCTGAGACCTTATTTACTGTTTCTTATTGTTATTTTAATTTCAAAATTTTAAATAATTTTAAAACAATCTTGAGTTAACACACTAACAGTTATCTTCAGGACAGGAGAGCTTTGTTTCATCATTCATTTTCTTAGAAGGTTTGAGATTGTGGTGCGAATTTGCCCGAAATTGAGGTAGAGGTTCCCCCATCTTTTCTCTATATCTGCGAGGTTTTCTCAATCAAAGAGCGAAAGATAGAATTTGTTATATTCGATTAGTACGCTTAATGAGACTTTTCGTGATAAGGTGAACTTGAATAATGGTTAGTCCATTAGCGAAGGGTATACCAGCTTTTTTTCCTAGGTTTTTAATGTAGCTAATTATGTAGGCTTGTACTTTCATTTTATGCATGTTTGGGACTGGGAACTTTGCTAAATGATTTATGGATCATTTCGAACTAATAAAACAAAACGATAATTCAGTGAGAAATAATTCAAATCTCTGAAAAAGCGATATTTGCACACGAATGTAAAGATACAACATCAGTAAGAACTATACAAAAATATTGAGGACAACAATTTTTGGTCGAGTTTATTATTTAAAGCGATTTGATCATGAACAAATGAAATCATAGTTAAAATCTTCCACGCCACCTATAACCTGTCCCAATTCTAGTTTACATGATTTAAGAAATGCATTTAAAAATAATGTAAAAATTACATACAGGCATTAGAATGAAGGTACATTCGGGATAGAAATGCATTTTTGTTGCAGGTTTTGGAATTTTCATTTGAATTGCAAGAATAAAATAAGTGAAAAAATCGAAATTCGGAAGATTTAAAATAAAAATCACATTCCAAATGCTTCAGCATAATTTAGAACATTAACATTGAACATGGAAGAATACAAAATAAGATATGACCTGTTTTTTCTTTTTTGCATAAGCACACTAAGTTTAAATAGTTGCCCATTTTCGGATTACAATTCTTTCCTGTCAATGAGCACTTCAAGATCTGTTATAACTTTGGAAGAAGCTTCCAATGTTGACCATCTGCTCGAAAGAGTGAATCCAATACCGAATTCTTTATAAACGATAAATTAAATTAAAGTTTAGTAATATCAATTGATTGTTAATAAATTCACCAATGATTTTGATTTAATAGTTAACAAATAAAAATGCTTTATTGATATCATTGATTATATCATTTGAAGTAAACATATTTTTACTTATCTATGTAAAGTATATAAAGATTTAAAAATTTACCTTACAAAGATGTTCAAAAATCATATCCAAGCGTTGTTTGGATTTACCGCTAAGAATCTGTTCCAAATGGCAGTAACCGACGGTACGTCTCCTTTAGTAATGCATTTAAATATGTATAGTCGTATGAGAATGCCACTTTACCAAATGAAATAACTGTGAGACAAAGTTGGCGCATTTGTCGTTGGACCTTTGACAGTTGATTTTGTTGTTCTGCGGTAAACTGTTCATTTCGCAGTATTACGCCCAATTTGACGATAAGTTTGATAATATTTTTCACCACCTAAAGATAAATTCAATTATTATAAACAGTTATAACTCATACTATATTATTACTACCATAATCTTTCATTCATGTTCATTATTTCAATATTGTATATGTTTTAAGTTTATATTTTCTTTGTTAATCGTTAAATTATTTCGCTGGATTTATCTTTTGTTTTATAATTTCGATCAGTTATTCTTAATTAAGAAACATAATGAAAGTATATAATACTTCTTAAAAGATATAACTTTAAATAAATGACTTATCCCATTTCCGTTCTATTTTAAACGCATCACTTCAAGCAATCATGATGAAATCTATGAATTAGAATTTATGGAAAGTTGATTATGAAATTAATTAAGCTAAGACCTTTTCAGCAATTATCTTGTTGTATGCTGTTTTCAAGATTTGATAGAGATAATCAAATAAACGGATAGTAGCATCATCCACAAATAATTTCGCATTATTCCTTGAAATTATTTTGGAAAGAATCTTCTTTTGAGCGCGTATAGCGATAGTTGCTGAACTAAACTGTTGGTGTTGCAAAGATGATTGTCCAAGACTACCATCACCTGAAGTTTTAACTGTGGCCTATCAACTTTCTGAAGACTTTTTTTTTATGAAATTTCAAAATTATTTCTTAAATATTAACATATTTTATTATCATATTATTACAACAAATTTCTATAACGGATTTCATTTTAAATAAAATTGCTGCACAGTCAAAATTGGTGATGAGAAGTATACATTTTAAAATTTTACAAATTGAATTTAATCCAAAAAGAATCTATTTTAATTAATTTAAGGCTAAATTTTAAATTTGAAATAAAATCGAAATGTTTGCAATCAATTTGTAAACTATCATTTAAAAATTAGTTACAAAAATATTACAAATATATAAATGAGAGGGACGAATAATAATAATAATAATAACAATAATATTAGTTGAAAAAAAAAATTAGCTTAACCTGTTTCATAATGTTTCATAGTATCAAGATCCATAAACTAATCGATTCAATAATAATTAATTAGTTTTTTCTGAAAATCTAAACTGAAAATTACTTGTAAAAATTGAAGTAGAAAAGTTTGCAACAATAACAATATCAACAACAACAACAACAACAACAACAATAACAATAACAATAACAGTAAGAAGAATAGAAAGAGGAAGAACATTAAATAATATTTAGTTTACCAATCAGAAATGAAACAGTACCCATCTTCCTGTCAACTCTTTGCATGTCAAAATCAGATCGTTGCTGCAAACAATGATCATTTCAAAGGGCTAATCAAAGAGGACAAAAACGAAGGAAAGGAAAGGAAAGGAAAAGAAAAGAAACGTTTTTCAAATGGTATTGAAAGCGCGCGCTCACATTCAATGAATCAAATAAACAATCGGTGAAAAAGAGAAAAGAAAGGCAAAAATGTTAGTTGGAAATAATGAACAGATCATCATCCATCGCTTTTATCATTGATATTTTCTACTATTTTCCTCTAATACTTGCCCGACTTACCCGATACATTCATTTTACCCGTTACATCGATTTACCCAATATATCTCTTCTTGTCACAATGTATCATCGTCTCTCTTAGCTTAATATTATTATCATCGATGTATAATTAATACATTAAATTTTTAAACAATGAAGAAGCTATCATAATTAATCGTTAATACTGATAAAGTGAGAGAAAGAGAAAGAGAGAGAGAGAGAGAGGGAAAAAAAAAGAAAGAAAAAATAAGAAGCCTGTAATCACTTTTTTTTGATTGCAGGTTTTTTCCTTTCTTCTCTCTTTCTCTCTCTCTCTCTCAACAATTTAAATATGCCAGTATTTTCTTTTTCGAAAGGTTTTTTTTTTTTCCTTTTTCGATAGATACTGAAAGACTTTGTGATTGCTTCCAGTATTTGAATGATATTAAATTTTTATGGATGACATTAGCGCTTCGCAGAATATTCCTTTGGAGTAAGAAAATTAAAGAAATTTGTTGAATTGTAAAGAAATTTAAATATTATTTATATTTGCTTATCTTTTAAAGTCAAAAAAAAAAACAAATAATTAAGTGAATGATGAAAAAAAAGAATTTTATTTAACAAATATTAAACTAAGAGATAAGTTTTTTCCTTTTTTTTCTGCAATCTATTGTTCTTTTTAACTTTGAAATTTTTTGAAAACTTTGAAGTTTTTAATAATTTTGGAATAAATGAAAAATCATTGGTGAAAACTTTTCCAATATTTTCAAAAAGAATATAAGAACATACAAATGTAGTATTTATCTTTTACTTATTTATTTATTATTTACTTGTTTCTTATTATTTATTGGTAAATTAATTAAATTCAAATGGAATTAATAGAGGAGTGAGTGTATTTTAGTGGAACCAAACTAGAAATTTGACGTAAAGATAAATGATGTGAAACGTTTCAGATAATCATACATATATATTTATATCCTTCATTTCACTATTTACTCTTTAAATATTTATCATGAAATGAAATGATAGAAAAAAATTATTTATCAAATTAATGACAAAGAAGCTTTTTGAAAAATTTATAGTATGATTAAATGAAAATACTTTTCTCTATCTTTTATTTTATTATTTTTTCATATTTGCACTAAATAAAAATTTGAGAAAAGACAAGCTGGTAGTTTTTATTACATCAAATAAGAAATTAATTAAAATATCATAACACCATTTATATTAAATGCAAAAATTGTTAAAATTCCTAGCTACATTAACTCAATATTATTTCAAAAAAAAAAAAAAAAGAAACAGAAATTGGAATGGAACCTTTCATATTTTATATAGTTATATTTTATAACCAAACTACTACCAGAAGAATAATTAATTGCTCAAATGAGTAAGCGTGAACATTTGCATTATCAAAAAAAAAAAAAAAAAACTCAAAAGGTCTTTAATTAGAAATGAATGATAAGTTTTCTCATTTTCTTGTTTCAAAAAAATATTTGAAATTTTTTCTTCGTCATTTAATTTTTTCCATCTTTACCAAATTTTCAAACATTCCATTTTTGTAATTTCAAAACGAAAAAGAAAAAGGAAGAAAATTTAGTATCAATAAGAAAAAGATGAAATAATATGAAAAAAAAAAGAATTCAATTTGAACTGTATTTTTGTTTTTTTGAGGTGACAAAAAAAATTAATTATAATTAGTAGGAATAAATTTGATATTAAAATGAAATGGCAAAAGAAAAAAATGTAGTGGTCCAAAATGGACAACCATAATCATTGATTGCTATCACACCATCAGGTGTGCAATTATATCTCATACCGCTATTCAACATTGTGGGAATAATTATGAGGGAGAGAGAGAGAGAGAGAGAGAGAGAGAGAGGGAGGGAGAGGGAAAGAGAAAAAAAGTCGACTTCTTTCCATATAGTTAAAAACACAATTGACAAAATTTCTTTTTTTTGACCTTAACTGTGAGAAATAAATAGCTTTTTACTTTTTTGAATACCTTAAAAACATTTAGGAAAAATGAAAAATGAGGAAAAAAAATTTTTGCCATTGTACTGAGAACGAAGCACAATGTAATAATAATATAAGCAATATAAACTGGCGTAAAATGGCATTTATTTATAGATATATCTATCACTGTACAGTAATTTCAAGGTCATCAATAGTGAATTGCTAAATTTTAAGATTAAATTTAATTTATAGAATTAATTATATATATAGGATTATTGTCGCTTTGCAATTTTTAAATTAATTTGTATCAATTATTATATTTAATATTTCATTTTTTATTTGATCTTTTCAATCTTAAATGTTTTTCTTTACTTTATTTTTGCATTAGTATTATCTTAATTAAGGTAAATGCCTTTTCTTTCATTTTCGTTTTTAAATTTCGTAAAATACAAGAAAAGAAATTATGTGTACTAATTTAATTTTGCATATTGCCAAAGTTATTTTACTCAGAAATAAATTTGCATATTTTTAACATTGAATGAATGTTTGTTGTTATTAATAAATTATTAATAAAGTAAGCCATCTAAAATGAATGTGTTGCTTAAATAATTAATCAGAAGTACCAACTCAATAAGCACTAATTGAAGTTTGTACCTCATTAATTATTAATATTTGAGCCTAAATATAGTTATATTATTTTTTTCTTTTAGTTCCACTTTAGCATTTCTATTTTCATTTTCAATATTTCAAATTATTTTTTGAGTCTTCTTACGTGAATGCTACATCTAATAAATTATAGAAATACGAATTTTGAAATTATTTAAAAAACAATTAACTTGTTACCCTTTATTTTGTCTTCATTAATGTATGTCGAATCAATAAAGTATTATAATACAAACAGTACCATAAATGTTTGTAATACAATATTGAATTCAATCTATGCTAACTTACTCCATGGAAAAAAAAAATGTTATAATAAAAACCAAAAAGAGTAAAGAGATAAAGGAACAAATAAATAACACTGAAATACGAGAATTTTTCCGACAAAGTGAAGTATAAACTAGAAATTCCAGTAATGTTTGATAATTTATTTTAAAAAAAGAAAAAGTTTTATCATTAATTTATACTATGGAAGAAAAAGAAAATTTTTTTTTCAGTCAAATTATGAGGTAGAGGAGAAAATTGAAGCAAATGTCAATTCAGTTCCAGTTTTTGCAAGTTTACAGGTGTTCGATTTAGAGTTCAAAAGTCTGAGGATTTCTTCATTGAAATTTTTTTGATTTTTTTAATCTTTTTTAAAGCTCTTGATTTCTCTTTGAATTTATCTTTTTCAGGAAAGATTTAATTTATACATACACATATCACTGCTAAAAATTTATTTTTACTTTTAGTAGTTATTTACTTTTAAAAATTACTCATTTTCCGACAAAATAGTTAAAATTTTAAAATTGATGCGTAAAAAATAAGAATATGAAGTAGTGTATAAAATTGAATGATGAAAAGAATTTAAAATAAAATCTAATAAAATAATAAATTCGGAACATTTGAGGAAGCATAGATATATAACGTCGATAAGAGCAGACTAGTCATCCTCTGTTCCAAGGCCATTTTTCGGTCATATTTTAAAGCTTTTTACAACACTAAGAAATTATTATCGAAATTTCTCATAAAAAAGAAAACAATTTTTTCAGAAAAAAAAAAAGAAAAAAAAATTCCTCCATGTAGACATTGAGGATGAAAAATCTAAAAAGAAAGTCAAATCTAAAAGTTAGAAGCAAATTCAATTAAGAATGATTAGTACTGTAATTTCAACGACTTTTTATCTTTCCATGATCAGTTCACATTTGATAGTCCCAAATTCATTTACTAATTTCTTCCTATTTTTTTTTCTTTAAAAATAAATCATATTGGTAAATGAGAATGTGAATTGAACTAATCTTGGTATATTTAATGAAAGCAGCAAATAGTTTCATTCGTTCTTTTCTTGAAACTGCATGTCTTTTAAGAATGATATTTCAAGCACTGGAGAAAAAAAATGTAAAACGAAGAAAAAAACGACAACACAAATAATGCGATGTTTTACTTAAATTTTTATTATCATTTTTTTTTTCTTTGAATTGATATATTAAAGAACTTTATAGTTTTCATTATTTGCTAACTTTTTTAAGACTTAATCACTTATTTACTTTTTTCTAATTTCTTTTCTCAAAAAATTCCGAAGGAAATCTAATTTCTTTCTTTTTTAAAAACAAGTGAGGTAAAACTTAAAAATTTATAAACTACGAAATATTATCTGTAACTTCAAGGAGAGCATCTCGAACTTTGCTCAATATGGAATTTTATATAATGAGTATATCATTTAAATTAAAGAAAAAAACTTTCGTAATTAATGATATCGAAAAAAACAAATGTTTTACAATGAAAGGGCAAACATTTTCATTTTAATATCAAGTATCCTGTGACACTATTATAAAGATTTATTTCAAGCGAAAACATCAAAATGAAGAAATCCTACATTAAAAATGCACCGAATTTCTGTCACAATATTAGCTGCACTATACGAAATACTGGAGCTACTCAAAATACTAGGAAATAAAAAGTCATAAAATTATGTACCTACCAGTTTATGAGAAACATATATCAGAGTAATTTATAAGTGCATTTAATGCTCTTAAATCAAACACACTAGCTTATGTACAAATTTTAGTGACTGGGAAAAAAGCAAAGTACAGAATCGCAAATATTTCAAATATTATGCAGATAACAATTATCATCCATCAGTGATTAAATACTGGATAAGTTGAGATCAGTGATCAAAATCACCCGTTCTATCTAAGTAATACTACACTCATAAAAAGATTTTGATGATCTACTGTTTTATGTTTGCTTGGGTGAAAGTTAATTATTTGGTCCAAGAAGTGTGCTATAAACGGCATACCAATGTAATGCTGCACCTAAAATGAAACATTTGTGTTATAAAAAGCTATTTTTCAAGCAATTAATAAATAATAATCCAAACAGTTAGGCTTCAAATGTTCTAATGACCATCACCTTAACTATATTGTCAAGATATTAATGAAATTCACAGAAATATTTGGGTAATGTTCAGCGATAGTTTACTAGACTAAACAAAAATAAAATCCCATATAAACATTGCAGTTCTCATTCAAATTATTTAATCAGTGCATAACTGCAGATATAAATTAGGATCACAAATGTTATATGAAAAAAGCTATACATAACGAACTTACCAACAACAACATGAAGATGCCAAAGTGTATGCGCAAAAGGTATGATGCCGTCTGATTTAAAAAAAATAACGCCTATCGTGTAAACAATACCACCAGCTAGCATTAACGTTAGATCACTAAGGTCACACTAAAATTGATTTTTAAAAAAATGACAAACTTTATCAATTCCTTAAAATTTATTGAGGTACTTTTTTTTACACTCCTAAAAAAAGAATGAAACATACCATACTGTATATAGCACTAAAAGGTACGACAGCAAAAGAAATATACAATAAAGTCTCTATCGTTTTGAATCTGAAATTGATCGTCGATAAATAAGGACATGAAGAATGTTACTTCCACTCTAATAGAATTAATTTAAACGAATCCTTATAAAATTTAAAAAATTTGTAAGACAGAAATGGAAACTAAATATTGGAAATTTTTGAAGATGTGGGCGGAGAATGTACAAATGAAATGACCAACTTTGTACAAGTGAAAGTTTAATCTACCTTTCGTGAAAAATACACTGATAGATGGTACCCAAAAAGGCAAACAACCAAACAAGCCATTTGAAATTATTTCCTGGAGATTCATACTGCCTCAACGTAAACCATGGCATGTAGGAAGCAGCAATAAAAAAGTAGATGGCGGCACGATCAATTATATGAAGGTAATAACGAAATTTCCTGAATAATTATAGTAAAATTGAAAAAGGAAAGAACTTATTAAAAATAAGTAATTGTTTTCGAAAATAAAATAGATTTTGGACTGTTTTGATAAAACATACTTCTTGTCCGGACGAAAAAGAAGTTCACATGTATGATAAGCTGTTGATGTAGTAAAAAGCACCTTAAAAAATTGAAATCGTATAAAAATTAGGAAAAATAACTTTTATGAAAATGTGAAATGGGACTTAGAACCCACGATTACATCAAATTATAGCAACCAATATCAATTAGTTGAAATAGATGAATGTTGGAAATTTTTAATATGAATGAATAGATGTCTACAAATATACCGTAATAAAAAAGCAGTAAATTATGGACACGTTTCGCTCTGACTCACGACGTGACGCAGCAATTAAGCACTGTGTTCCATATATACTCGGAAGTATTGCTACCTGAATAATTAAATTCCCTTGAAAATAGCGTAGAAATGAACAAAATCATCAATAGGTTACTTAATTTGAAATTAATAATATAAAAAAACTAAGATAAAAACAGTGAAAGGACTTTCAGCTCGATCTTTAGTTATTCCTGTGCATTACTGTCGATATGCGTTTACGCAAGAAACACGTTCTGAGGTGAAGGAAAACAATACTTCAGCAACTCAGCTTCACTTTTCTGGAGAACTGATGTTAAGCTACAATAAAAATGCGTAGCAAGAACTTTCGGTGTAATCTGAATTAAGGGTAAAATTTACAGTCAAAATTCAAAATTTAGAAATGTTAACTTACTCCATGAGAAAGGATATTTGCGACATGTTCATAACGTGTCGGCTCATACGCTTCACCTCGAGCAGCTCTTTTGTTCATATAAGAACTAAAAAAGCATCATTTTGCAATTATGAAGTTTTAGAACTAAAAACTCTGCCAATCTTTGTGAGGACCTATTAGGTCAGCTTTTTGGATACGAAAAAAAAAAAAAAAAAACAAAAAACAAAAGAAATAATTTGTCAATTTTAAAAGAATTTAGATAAATCACTAAGATTAATACAAATGTAATTACCATTGATGTAATTTTATCTACACCAATAGTATTTTGCAATAACAAATAATTTCGAAAGAATGCTAGAATGATAAAGAAAATCTCAAACTGTTAATGTATAGCTTAATCTTGTATCTGCAGTGGACTAATCAGCTCCAGAAATTTAAACTGTTTTACAAGTCGATTCATTAAAGTTTGTAAAAAAAATCAAAGAAAAGATTATTGCAAATTACCTGAAAATACAAGTGTTCATAACGTAGCAACCGGTTTTTATTTGTAAAGAGTTTGAGAAGCGACAAGGAGTTTAAACCTGTCTGCAAAGTTTATTAAATAACCTCATATTACAGACATATATATATATACTCATTTCTGTTCTATTTCTAAAATCAATTTCTTAAAACAAATTCAATCCAATTTCATAGAATAAATTTAACTGGCAGCTAGATCAGTCGGGATAGCAAGACTCAAAGCTAAAAATTTTTAGCCTCCCTCTCTAAATCTGAACAGGGAAAATGCATGTATCTAAAATTTAAGTCATTGATCTCGAACTGAAACAAAGGCACAAACATCAGAGCTTTAATCCCGATAATTTATATAAGTACTCACCTCTTCCCTTCTATACCTTCCGGATCTTCTTATTTAAACAACATCACTAACAATTATCAGCCAAATATAGGACTCCAGCCAAATGATATTTTTCTAACCGGGTTTTAAACTACCACCTAAAATTAAAGTTTTGTGATCAGGTTGGTCGTACACTAAGTTACAATAAAAGGAAGCAAAATACTGTAACCAATGAAATACATCATCACATCATATTGTTTATTAAAACTTCATGGACTTTATTCTGATGAGAAACACTGTATGAGAACGATTATGAATGCACGAATAAATTCTTTACTGAGGAAAATGAGAGCTCAGCTCAATTCCCATAAAGTTTGAATTTTATATTAAATCTTAAGATTTCATCCCCTATACAATTAGTGTCTTGGATAACAAACTTAAGACATGATATCAAGAGAGTTTAAAACACATGAAATGGAAGCTACCGCGTGAAATGTAACACTCCTTATGCCACTCAAAGTCCTCAAGCCAGTTGTTGATCAGAATGGGCAACAGCATGAATGAATTAACGCTTTGATGGGTTAGTTTTGTGAGAGGCCTTCCTCCTCGAATGCCACTTTTTACAGATGAACACATGTCATGCTAGTTTGTTTATCATCTTTTAGATTGACAAGTTCCAAAGTAATCTGCAGATGTCATGAAAAACATAATTTTCTTGTGCTATTTCTCAAATCACTTCTTCCTTCCTCTTCTTCTATGTTTTCCTCCTCGCTCCAAACTTTATTCTCTTTCTCCCTTCGCCTTTCCAATTAAAAAGTTAAAACTGCCACATAAGCAAAATACGGAAAATACTGGATAGAAAAAATTAATACAAGTTCAGCGTTATCCAAAATAAACGAATAAAAGTGAAAAAGCTATTGCATTAAAAAAAAAGTTACAACAGTGCAAGAAATACTCGATATATTAAGAATGTGGAAGCGGTGAAATGTTCGCCAGAGTATTTAAATCTTCTTCGAAAGGGTCAGGTCGTGATGCTGATGCTGAGACACTATCTAAAGCAAGAAAAGGGTTAGTGACATGAAAAACTTTACAACAAAGAATTAGCAACTTAATGCTAGATGAATAGCTCAGAAGTAGCACTCTTTTGTCCATATAAAATTAGACAGTTATCACTTAATGAAGGAAATGAAAAATCTTAACACCATATAAGCAGTAAACAAGCTAACGATAGGAATAGATAACTGACTCTGTCAAGGATTCAAAAACATGCCTCAATATTATATAAATCATCTGAAAAATAAATTCAAAGAACAATTTATAAGATGAAAAAAAGTCTATTACCTAACTTTTCCATTCCACTGTCTCCTGAATGAATTAAGTTTGATTCACTTGCCATGTTGCAAAGCTCCGCTTCTGAAGCTACGTCTGATTTTTCTGCGCTCCCTTCATTAGCCAGTGGTGTCCATTCTCGGATACTGGGAAAATTTGGTGAAGCTGAATTAATTGTAGGGACAATACTTCCGTCTGGTCGTAAAGATACAATCCTCAATGAAGGCCTACAAAAACTATTCATAATGTTGCATTCGTTAGCAATGTTTCTTGAGAATTTTTGATCAAGAGATTAGGCTCAGATCAGAAAAATCATTCAAAAGAAATTTTTATTGCTAAGAAATCCTAATTCTACTTTAGCACAAATTAACCTTTGTAAAACAATGTCAAAAAATCGCTTTGGTAACTGTCCGGCGCTATTATCAGATGTTGTATTTGAACTTGAACTACCATCCGCCATGTTGCTACTAATTTCTATAATGGTATTGACACCCACTTCAACCTTCTCTACTGATTGATTATCTATTAATACAGGATCCGTGGAAACAGCTGCATCTGTTGTTGGAATTTTTGTTGGAATGTACTGCACTGTCACTTTATCTTCATCTGAACGTAAACTGATTGGCATTTCTGATTTTTCCTGAAAATCATATAAACAAAAAATAGGAATTATTCATTTTATATTTCGAAGGCTTCAGTACTTGAATCTTCAATACGGTCGCATATAAAATCTTAATTTGAAATTTTGCAGTGATGAAAAATTAATAAGTTTTATTAATTTACCAATAATGTGAAGCACATAGCACAGGATACTAACACCATAAAAACCATACAAGAATGTTAGGTTTAACTAGCAGATGGTTTTGAAAAGATCAGCGGAGAAAATATATACAGGCATATTTGTCTTTCCCATGCCGATCGAAAAGTTGTGTACGTATGCAACGCCCGATTAACAAAACAAGGATTACAAGAAGCTGAACTGAAGATAGAGTTCAACGCCAAAACTCTGAAGAATTTAAAATGAGTGGATCGGCGAAGTTAAGCACTACAGTTCAATAATTATACAAGTTCAACAACATGAGCACCAATTCATCGAGAGCGACAATTCTAATTGAAAATCGATGGTAGCGTGAAAATAGAAGCAACAGCAGTGAGGGAATGAAAGAACAATGATAGTTACAAAAGTGAACATTCATAGGACTTTCACAACAAAAAGCAATCAACAAATTAGAAGGATCTCTTCCCCGAAATGGAACAGTTATATTTTTAATGTTACATTTAGAATAAGATAATAACTGAGAGACAAACATAAGTAATAAAATCTACTAAAAAAAAAAAGAAAAAAGTAAGAGTATGAAACCAACATTTGTTGACGTTGAATATATAGTTGCTTCCTTCAATGGAACACTCGGTACGAATTTTTCTTTCAAAACGACAGGAAGTGAAACATCGGCTGTTTTCCTAATTTCTACCAAAACTTCGTCATTCACATTTACACTGCTATTACTTCTCACGTATTGAGATGATCGCTCAGTAACACTGCGCGATGAAGTAGTACTCGACTAAAAAGTCACAGCGGCTCTTAAAAATTTTGTTATAAAGAGTGCTTTTTTACAAACGAAAACATCATGCTTATTACTTTTTGAAATAATGCACTTAGTCTTCCGTTAATTATTGTTAATTCACTGAAGAAAACTTTTAAAAAGCACATATACCTTCCTTATAGGTAACAATTTTTGTTTGTGTTCGCTTTTCTGAATTGTTTGTAATAGCGAACCATTAGATGATAAGGATGAATTACTTGATGTATATGATGTAGTTGAAGTACTTTTTGAGAAAGAAAAAGAGTTTGAATTTTGTGGATTTTTGGACGATTCTCGACGTCTTCTATTTGTATTGTCCCTAGGAATAAAGAAATTGTTTACAAGAAAACAAAAATCGAACATAGAATATTTCCGCACTGATAACAATTTGCTAACCTTGATGAATGACCACTAGTAAGATTATCCAAACGCGGAATATCGATAGTTGGAGCTGGTGGATTAACTGGCATTAGAGGAGAAGTTCTAAATTCCTGCCAATGTTTGTGGATATGTTTTCGCGACGAAGCATTATCTTTTTCTAAAAAAGAAAAGATTATCGCGAAAACAATAACAGCACAATATTAATTTCAGACCTAAATATTTTCATCCAACGATTCGTTACTACAAATAATTCAGAAAAGCGAACACAACAAATAAAAAATAAAGCATATTTTGTAGAAAATAAAAAACGATCTAGTAAAACATACATAGAAATACAAGTATAAAAAATATACGCGTAAAAAAAATTTTTTTTTCTTGATACTAACGCTTTGGATTTTGGCATAAATTACGAAAGCTATCATACAATTCCAATGTCTCATTCTTCATCAGGAATAAAATTCCATCGATGTTGCAGAATGAGAATGAGGATTAATGAAAATAGGATATTATGACAAAATTTTTGAACGGAATATAGCAAATTTTGGAATTGTGAATGATTTCAAAATCACGGCTTCACTAAATTCAACCTCTAATGACCATTTTTAAATAAACAACGCTTAATGTAAATAGGAAAGATTTTCATCTTCAGGTTATTGAGGACAACATAGCTTAAAGTTTAGCTTTATCAACTTATATACAGAAATAAAATATACCAAAACGTTGCACAATATCTTTCTCTGATTCATCGTTATGTTCGCTCAAAAATCTCAACACAGATTCGGACGATGGTGGTTCGTTTGAGGGTGACAATATGCTGTGCTGAAATATATAAACTAGCTACAAAGCGTTATCGCTGTTTAAAGCATGATTAACATAACACTAACATCAAATTTTGTTAAACATTTTTTTTGTCTAAAACACTGGCATGAAAAATTTCCCAAGTCACTACTTTTCTGTCCTCGTATTGCATAATTCCAAATACATCAGAGTAAATAAATAAATAAAAACAAAATACTTCTTGAAATAACTATAAATAATGCATTCTGCCGAAATCAGAAAAGAAAAGACTTCATTATTCACCTGCAAATGTGTATATACTTTCAAGACGAGCTACAATGAGGCGCTGAATTGGTTCAACGAAATTTCTGAAACTTTTCCTGAGAAAATGATAACTGTTAGCTAAAACTCTTGTTAACTATCGCTAACATAAATTAGTATGATCAAACATGAAAGATTAAACTTAGTTGAAAATCCAATCTTTTGTAAACGACTTACTCAAATTTAGCATTTACGATACTTTCAACCGTTCGTTCCGGGTTGGCACAAAAGTCTGCAACTGCTTGACGTACTGCCAGCCGGATGTTTGATATTGTTACTTCTGAACATACATTCGCTTTTGGCATTTCTGTTTTCCTATAAATAAATAATATTTTTAAAACAAATTTCAATTTTCCACACTGAAACTTTCAAGTAGGAGAAATCTTACTAACAAAACCATTAGAAAAAATCAATTTTTATCTTTTGAAGTGGTAACACATTTCCATCTCTAACAGTGGTGCGCTGTAAAACACCGATATAACGCTTTCGCTACAATTATGCATAGCTTGCAATAAATTTTTCATTTAACAAACATAATTCATAGCTTTTCTCTGTAACTACTTCATTGTTTAGTGAGATCAACGAATTTTTAAATACTTAAAAGAAATAAATAATTCAATGCACGTATAAACAACATTTACTGAAAGTTTACAACAGAAAATACTTACAGAAACCAGGAGTAAGCATGGACTAACAGTAATATTGATTGAATAGACTATACTTTCAATACTGATAGTGGTGCTACGGCACAGCAGTAATTCTATAATCTTAACCGAATATGAATAATATAGTTTGTTCACTTGTGGAACCAAATAAGGATAATTTATCAATTGAGTTCAAAAGTAGTGAGAAGCACACTGAACAAATTTTCAGGTTTGTAAACTAATAATATACCAAAGAAATACCTAACTGAAGAGGTTCAAGCGTTAAATTCCAACCTTCACATAATCAGTTTCAGATGTAACAAAATGATAAGCAATGTATTAGCCCATCACAAATATTTCCAACTTTTACATCGTTACTGTTCTAAGTTAATCTGAAGCTAGAATTTATGAATTTTGATAAATGGCAAACAATTTATCATGAAATCCATGATTGCAGTTAAATGTTGTTGAAGTATAACGCAGAATCTATATTGTACTTTCAGACTTTTCACAAACTGATCATTCTGTAATTACCCACTGGAATAATATCAAAAGTAGCGACCGATCAGATGCAAGATTTCTATAGAATGTTTATTATATTGCATGATAATTCATACTTTCATAACTTCATGTTTTCAACTGATTTATATGTTGCTCCTTCTTATAGCACTAATTTATAGCATTAATCGATAATTCAACTTTCAGTATAAAATCTTTCTAATGTTTTATACTCATAAAGCTTCCGAAATCATCATTTTGTCATTAATAATTTACGTAATTGAATGCTTGCGTCACATCGCTAATTAAGATGAATGTGCATTTCACGTTATCTCATACGTAGTGGTTAAATATCATCCAAACTTATACTGATAAATAAGTGATAGACAGAAACGAAAGAAGCGGACAGACATGACGCTGACCGTATAGATAAGACATTCAGGACGTTATTCTTTCATTTCCCTGGCTGAGTTACACATGCAAATAAAAAATTGGACAAACATGAATAAGAGTGGCAGACATGAATAGGAGTGGACACATAGATATGAACGAACAGACGTGATGAACGTGGATAGCAGTAGACGGACGTGGATATAAATAGACAAATCTCGACAGAAATGAACAAACATGGATATGGATGGAAGACGTGGATATGGATGGACATGAAGAGACGTAACGTAACACCCAGCTGTCGCAAATATCGAACTTGTCATAATTCAAAATATTGGTAGATCGCCAACTACCGTAATGCATTGCAATAAACATTTCAGTGTTGACTGAGAATCAATGCGATGATGCCGAGTAGCATCTCCAGAGGCTATCTTCCAACTTACGCACGGACTTAGTTTTTGTGCGGATGCGAGGATGGCACGTGTGGTTCTAAGAGTGCGTACTAAATTCCCGTGGGTTCGCGGTGAATTCTGTGAATTCACACTGTGATGCTCACCGAATTATGTTAATTTCTAAAAATTCATCAATTTTTGTTAGCCATTTATAGTTATGGGTTTATTGATTGACTTTACACTACATTTTCTACCAAAGTTGTTTATCGTTTATATGAAATGATACTGTCATTAAGAAATTTCCGAAATTTATTTTTACTTCTTTCGGAGAAAATTGTAAAAAATGCGCCATACTTTCATATTCGGGCTTCTAGTTCATAGAAAAATTCCATAATAGCTTGAAATTTGATCTTGATGATAATATAGAAGTTTGGTTTTTGTCAAAAATGACTCTGATCGGTTAGTAGAAAAGTTTTAGTATACACAAAGGAGAGGGAATAACGGAAAAAAGATATAATCAATTGTAGAGTTATGGTACAAAATCATTTTAATTATTCCGGAAAGTTATTTGGTAGGATTGGTCAAAAAGTTTGCGATCGCTCGTTTCATCTTTTCATGGCTTCCTTTACATGTCCAGTAAAAGAGTAAGGAAAATGGAAGGGAATAGAAAACGATAAACGGCAAGAAATCGGATTTGGATGTGATATCAGGAATTAACAGAATTCTTTCTTGAGATAACTATTTAGATTTGTTCTTTTACATTAAGCGATGAGGATAATGTGGTAGTTTGGAAAGTTCGCAAAAAGTTCACAAATAACCAGTTTAGGCGCTTCTGTCAGTTAAATCAAGGTACTTCACGCCGACTGAAAAAAGAAAGTTTGTGTGATTAAGGTCAGTGAATTTTATAGGATAAAAGATCAAAAAAAACGGCATTTGAAGTAATAAAATCTAACGAAATTGAAGGGTTGCCTCTATTTCTTTTTTTTTGTCTGTGAATACTGCGAGATAAGTATAAAATTTAGTTACAGTTACTTTTACCGAAAGCTGTGCCAACAAGGCAAGGACATTATTAGAGGTGCACTGAATTACTTCGTTCGTTTGAACCACAAAGTCAGATATGAGAGAAAAAGACAACAAGGAAAATAATATCTGTTGAGATTCTCGTAGTATTTCGAGCAAGATTTTAATTTTTGCCCTTCACAAATTTCTAGAGCATTTTTCGCAATTGAAAAATCGCTCGTTCATCTGCGCTTCTATAACTCATGTAAATATTTTTTGTTTGAAACCATGAAGAATGATTATTTATGAAATGTTTCAGCTATGGCCGCAATTGCACCTGCAGTACAAAATCCGAATTCAAGTTCTTTTCCAAATAGTGAAAGGTTAAAACTTTTCCATTTATCTACTTCAGTAAATTTGATTTTTTGATGCAATGGAATTAATCATATTTAAAAAGATGTTTAAGACATGACAAATGAACTATGAAATGAATTCCAATTTTATAGAATTTAGAAAATATTAGACACCTTTTGCATTTTATACCGATAATTATAAATTCGAAAGTAAATTTAACTCAAATTGAAATGATTTTCAAACACAAATAGGATAGGCATTTGTAGTACAGAATAAAGTGATTCTCATTTTATATGCATTTGTCATTTTTATAGATATCCTTTCGTTATCATGTAGTGTTTTTATCTTTTTCTTCTTGCAGAACGTGTGCTGGTATGTTGAATGAAGTGAAAAAGGAAGATATGTCTAATGACGAAGATATTCCACTGTCGCAGAAGGCACGAATGATTATAGATGACGATGATATACCGCTTGCCAAAAAGTTGAAAACAATGAAAGATGCACCTGATGATGATGATGTACCATTGTCAGAAAAGGCTAAGGTTTTTATTTTTCAAAATGATTATTTTTCATTCCTTCAATGTAATCAAATATTTTCTCATTATCGTATATGCTTTTTGTGATGGAAGCAAGTAAATATTTTTTATCGTTGGTTGCATAACTTTATGTCTGTTTTCCTTTTTGGGGATGCATTTGAATTGAAAAGATATGTGGAAATGTATGCTCTGTATTATGATAATTGCCAATTTCCAGCCACAGAAAAGGTTAGCCGAAGTGATGGGTACTGCATCGAGTAGTCGAATTAAAAAGCCATTGTCATCATCCGCCCTTTCGTCGACAAAAAAAATGCTTAAAAGAGAACTGGAAAGTGATGATGATGTACCATTGAGCGTGAGAGCTGCTACATTGACCAAAAAAAGGAAAAAAAGTGAATCAGATGATGAAGATTATAAACTGGAGGTCAGTTGCAGTCCTAAAATTTTCCATATATTCATATACATTAAATGCTATACATTTGTTCAAAGTTGTTCATCCATTTAGTTACAGAAGAAAAAAGAAAAACGGAAAAATTCAAGTGAAAGGAAAAAAGCTTCAACTTCGAATTCTGAGAAAATCCATATAAAGAATGAAAAAGCCAATGGCATTGCATCGAATAAGCGGAAAAGACGGGAGGAAGACGAGGAGGAAGTTTGGAAATGGTTCTTTTTTTAACTGTTTGAATTAAAACCAGATTTGTTATAAATGTTGCAATTTTATCAATGATAAAAAATGCCGCGCTTGAAAAACTGCCTTTTAACATTTGCTTTCCAGGTGGGAAGAGAAAAGAAACCGAGTGGCATCAAGTGGTATAGTTTATCCCATAAAGGACCCATTTTTGCCCCGCCCTATGTATCACTTCCTGAATCGATTCACTTCAAATACGATGGGAAGGTAAGCAAAGGTCGTCTGCTACTTGGTTTGTTGAATAGTGATGGCACGCTGAAGTTCTATAGGTAACTTATTACAGGTGATGAAATTGGCACCATTGACGGAGGAAGTTGCGTCTTTTTACGCTAAGATATTGGAACATGAGTACACAACAAAGGATATTTTTAATAAAAATTTCTTTACGGACTGGAGGAAGGTTTGCACTTTTGTTGTTTGATGGATTTTACTACTTTGACAGATATTCTCAAATCACATTTTGAGTCTTTTAGGTAATGACTCCTGCAGAACGCGAAAAGATTACGGATTTGACGAAATGTGATTTCCGAGAAATGCATGACCATTACGTAAAATTAAGGGAAGAGCGAAGATCTTTAAGTAAGGAAGAGAAGCAAAAACTTAAGGAGGTTCGGTTTGAAAAAATGTGATAAATGATTGCCAAGTCGGAGAAATGGTATTATTATTTTTATTTATTTTTAGATTAAGCAAGAGGAAGCTAAAATTTATGGTGTTGCTTACATTGATGGACATAAACAGAAGATAGGAAACTTTCGAATTGAACCGCCAGACTTGTTTCGCGGACGTGGTGGTCATCCCAAAATG